CATCATATATTTACTATTGGATTAGATGTAGATACACGAGCTTACTTCACTTCAGCCACTATGATTATTGCTATTCCTACTGGAATTAAAATTTTTAGTTGAATTACTACTACTCTTCATGGAACTAAAATCATAATAATTCTTCTCTCTGATGGGCTATAGGATTTATTTTTTTATTTACTATAGGAGGTTTAACTGGAGTAATATTATCTACTCATCATTGATATTATTCTTCATGATACATATTATTTGTAGCACATTTTCATTATGTTTTGTCTATAGGAGCTGTATTTGCAATCATTGCAAGATTCATCCATTGATATCCATTATAACTGGATTTTCTTTAAACAATTATTATTTAAATATTCAATTTATTTGTATATTTATTGGCGTAAACTTAACTTTTTTCCCACAACATTTTTTAGGATTAAGAGGAATACCCCGACGTTACTCAGACTACCCAGATAATTTTTTATCATGAAATATTATATCATCTATGGATCATTAATTTCAATTATTAGATTAATTTTTTAATTTATTTAATCTGAGAATCTTTATCATCTAAGCGATTAATTTTAAACATATTTTCTTAAATTCATCCTTAGAATGATTAAGACCATACCCTCCTATTAATCACAGTTATAATGAAATTCCTTCAATTTAAAAATTTATTTCCTATAAAATTTAAATTAATAATTTATTTTAATATGGCAGATTTAGTGCATTGGATTTAAACCCCAAATAAAAAGATTTTATTCTCTTTATTAAAAATTAATACATGAATATTATCTCTCCAAAACTCAAATTCTCCAATTTATGATATAATAATTTTTTTTCATGATTTTACTATAATAATTTTAACTTTTATTACTTTAATAATTTTTTTTATTAATTCTCTATAATTAATAATAAATTTATCAATCGTTTTCTCCTTCAAGGTCATTTAATTGAACTAATTTGAACATTACTCCTATGATTATTTTAATTTTTATTGCCATTCCTTCTATTAAAATTCTTTACCTTACTGATGAAATATTTAATAATAAATAACTATTAAATCTCTGGGACATCAATGATACTGAAGATATGAATATTCTGATTTTTTAAATATTGAATTTGATTCTTTCATAATTCCCTCAATCAATTAAAATTAAATGAATTTCGATTACTCGACACAGATAATCGATGTATTTTACCTTTTAATTATCCTATTCGTATTCTTACAACTTCAATAGATGTAATTCATTCTTGAACAGTACCTTCATTAGGAATTAAATAGATTTACACCTGGTCGTTTCAATCAATCCTTATTTTTATATACCGTCCTGGTTTATTTTTGGCCAATGTTCAGAAATTTGTGGTATAAATCATAGATTTATACCTATTGTTATCGAATCAACTAATTTTTTAAATTTCAAATCTTGACTAAAATCATTTATATAAAATAAATTAAACTTAAATAATATTTTTAAATTTTTATTTCATTAAATGACTGAATTACAAAGTATTGATCTTTTAAATCAAATATAATAGATTTATAATCTATTTTTAATGGCAAATAAAGAATTAGTTTACTAATTAAAACATTAAATTGTCAATTTAAAATATTTTAAAGTTCATATAAAAATATTCTTTAATCCCTCATATAATACAATACTTTGAATATTAATAATATTATTTACTTTAATAATCTATTTTTAATTATTTCAATAATTATTTTATATACACCCCTATTCAACACTTGATTTTAGTTACACATTAAATAAATATAATTGAAACTGAAAATGATAATAAATTTATTTTCAATTTTTGATCCATCAACTAATATATCTTTATCACTAAATTGATTAAGAATATTAATTATTTTTTTATTTTTTCCTTATCAATTTTGAATTATTCCTTCTCGATTTTTATAACATGAAATCTACTATTAAATTTTTCTTTTAAAGAATTTAAAATTCTTATTAATTATTTTTTTCCAATTTAATTATATTTATTAGATTATTATATCATATTATTATTAATAATTTTCTTGGATTATTCCCTTATTTTTATTTACTGCTTCTAGACATTTAAGATTTTGTTTATCTCTTTCTTTAACTATATGAATTTCAATAATTTTATTTAGAATTATTAATTATATTAATGATTTCTTTTCCCATCTAACCCCCCAAGGAACTCCAGTAATTTAAATACCTTTCATAGTTATTATTGAATCAATTAGATTAATTATTCGACCTTTTACTTTACTATTCGATTACGCCAATATAATTGCCGGTCATTTACTGCTATCTTTATTGGGATCTTCAGGTCAACAAATCATAAATCCTTTATTTTTACCTTAAATATTTTCACAATTATATTATATATTTTAGAAATTTCTGTTTCTATAATTCAGCTTATGTATTTTCAATCTTATCAACATATATAGAAAGAACTTTAAATTTAAATTATTTTTTTATAATATACATCATTAAAATTATAAACCTATGATAAAAATTAATCACAATCATCCCTTTCATTTAGTTTCATTAAGCCCTTGGCCAATTATCATTTCTTTAGATTATTTAATAATTTAATTTCTATAGTTAATTGATTTCATAAATAAATTATATTATTCTATTATCAATTCCATGCACATTATATGTATATATCAATGATGACGAGACGTAACTCGTGAATCAACATTTCAGTTGACACCTCATACTGTTTATTTAGGTCTTCGATTAGGAATATCCTATTTATCATTTCAGAATTTTTTTCTTTATTTCATTTTTTTGAGCATATTTTCATTCAGCACTAGCCCCATCTATAGAAATTGGTCAATTATGACCTCCATTAGGAATTAAGCTTTTAATCCTTTTGATATCCCCTCATAAATACAAATTATTTTAATCTCCTCTGAATACAGTAACTTGATGCCACCACTCAGTTTTTAAATAAAAATTACTCTGAGAGATTCGAAATTCTTCTAATTACTATCATTCTTGGAATTTATTTTACCCTATTACAATTAATTTACTATATGAATCTCCTTTACTTATATTTCAGACTCTGTTTATGGGATCAACAGTTTTTTATTGCTACAAGGTTTTCATGGATTACAGAATTATTGGAACGTTATTCTCTCTATTTGTTTCTACTTATAAATCTTCTCCATTGTTCAAAATTACATCATTTTGGATTTGAATCCGCGCTTGATATTTACAACTTTGTAAGATGTTGTATGAGTATTTTATACATTTCCATTTACTTATGAAGATATTAAAAAATTACTTCTATAAATTTATATATACATTCATAAATTAATTAATTCTACTCTATAAATAAAATGAATTTTCATTGTTTATTTTATGTAATCTAGTATAAATCGATTACATTAATTCTTTTTTGCGCGTACGCTCGATTGCTGACGTTGAACGCTCACGCACGAAGCTACGGATCCTGACAATCGGGTTGTAAATCCGATCGTCGATATCCGTCTCGTGTATAGATTGCACAGGAAGATTCAAAGTGGACTGTATCTTAAGGAGGGTGGACGCGCTCCGATTGGTGCGCAGGATGGGTAACGATTTAAGCCACGTGCCGAATCGAGAACCAGAATACGGAATTATATGCACAAATTACACAAAAACAATCCATTTATTAACTAAATTTGTCCGAGAGTCACAATGTACATAAACGCAAATTAATTTGAAACCTTTACATAAAATCTTTATCTATTAACGAATAAAATAGTCACCGCGAAAACACGTACGACGTGGTTGTTAAGCAGTCCGAAATGTCTCACTATATGGTATCTAGCATGTGTTGCATGGACACCACCGAAAAACTATTTGTTGCATAACAATTGCTAGTTACGATGAACACGCTCGAAACTCGTGTATCGAATCGTTCGAAATCTCACATTAAGATTTCGTACACGTTGCCGATTGCGGCGAATGCGATATTAAATCGCGAACCGAAATGTTTCAATTAACATGAAGAATCACTGATCACATAAATGTTACAGTGCGTTGAGCACCACGGGCTCGAAGGGATGAAAAAAAGGAACGCAAACACAATCACGACATCAGGTATCAGTCCCAGATGACTGATCACGTGATCTGCGCGCTCCAACTCACGTGATCTACGCGTGCCAAGCGAACACGCGCGAGCCTCATGTATACAATTATTACGTTCGTGGAAACAATCGGACTTCGGCACCTTGATATTTCACCATTGCGTGAATTCTGGTCCCAAATCACTGAATTCCGCTTCGTTAACAATGTTTTGAGCGCAAATTTTATGTCGCGTATATAACGGCGCACCTTGTTGCTACCGTTAATTAGCGAATGTCAAAGTGAACGTATTTCACATCTCACTTATCACTGAATCACAGCAGAATATCAATCTGATTATTTTTTTTATTAATCAAACAACGAACTACGAACAATTAGAATCGCGACGGAAAACCCACATGTGACTAATCGCAAAGCCGTGCCAGGAGCGAATGCCCAGGTTCGATGACGAGGCAGTTCATCCCCGATCGATTCGATAATCGAACGCTTGAAGCGCGGCGTGTAGGTTCAGTGCGTGCTGCCCCGTGCCGGATTAACTCAAAAATTATAGAATTTCAAATTATCGACCTACTTCTTCATTCTACTTTGAACAAAATAATAAAGTTCATTGATAACCTGTGGGCTCAAACTGTATCTTCTGAACATACCGTGCCCGCCTCGAAATAAAGATTTCGAAATGATCTTATCAGTAACTAAAAGAACTCACTACCCCAGGTTTGGGTTTGTTTTTTTTGTTACATAAAGAAAAAATATAGAAAAAAATAAAACGTTAATCGCTTAATCGATTATTTCGAGTGAGATTCAACCGTGATTACATATTGAACAATAACAGGCATTTGGTTATAGCAAATTATCATGATTGAATTAACAAAGTATTAAGACATAGATTCATTTACTAAATCTTATCATTAACGCGACGGCGACGTGGTTCTTGAGTAGTCAAGGATATTGAGCGCCGCCCGCCTTAACTAATCTACGAAGGACTTGACTTGTCCTAATTATGCGAACGATTGAGACGTTGCATGCGCATTATGGAGTTGGGTTTTCCGCAGTACCTGTCTTACGTTCCGACAGTTGATCGATTAAGTTAATATCGATAGGTAGTAGGCACAATTTAGTTACTGGTCGCTTGTATTCGGACGTCGCTGTTTTAACTGAGACGACTCGAGTTAACCCGTCAGAGCCCGGATGACAATGAATAACTCGCCCTAATTCCCATTTACACGGTGGGAGAAGGGGGTTTTGAATCAAAACCATTGAGCCAACCTGAATCGGAGGCGTTTCTCGACGCCACTTTGATCTTTGTTGAAGAGTATTGACATAATCTGACTGCCACTGCTTCCAAAAACGCTCCGTAATCTGTCTGAGTAATTGCCATCGCGACAATCTGTTTTCGTTCAATTGTAGAACGGAAGGTTCCGGATTCGTAGTAATGGCAGTCCCAATCAAAAGGTGACCTGGGGTCAGGAACTCGTAGTCATCTGGAGTATCATTGAGTGGAGAAAGCGGCCTTGAGTTGAGGATAGCCTCAATTTTGCACAACACTGTCGTGAACTCCTCAAATGTCAATGCGTGTGAGCTTACAATTCGACGAAGGTGGTGTTTGACACTCTTCACTCCTGCCTCCCATAGTCCTCCAAAATGAGGAGCATGAGGCGGGATGAAACTCCAAGTGATCCTATCTGTTGCGATTAAATTGAGAAAATCCGTATTGCGTTGAGCATCCCGATACGCGCGGGATAGCTCTTTATCGGCTCCTGTGAATGTTGTACCGTTATCCGAATACATAACTGCTGGCAAGCCTCGTCTGGCGCAAAATCGTTGAAATGCGTTCAAAAATGCTGGCGTTGAATAATCGCTGACCAACTCGAGATGAATGGCTCGAGTTGCCAAACATATGAAAACGGCTATGTAAGCCTTTCGTGAGGTGATTCCTCGACCAGCAGAGGCTCGAATGAGCACTGGACCGGCATAATCGATGCCGCTGTGCAAAAACGCCCTCGTTGGCGTTGAGACTCGAGTTGATGGGAGTTGACCCATTAACTGATTGGCTACCTGAGCTCTTTCTCGCGTGCATCGAACGCACCTGTAGATAACTGATTTAACTAAAGGCCTAGATTTTATAATCCAAAATTCTTGGCGAATTTTAGACAGGGTAGACTGAAGACCGGCGTGCAGCGAGGCTATGTGCGTGTAGCGAATGAGCATTGTAGTAATTGGATGATCAGCTAGTAGAACTGGATGTTTGGATTGAAATGGTAGATGAGAATGCTCCAATCTTCCGCCAACGCGGAGTAGACCATTTGCGTCTAGGAATGGATTTAATGATATCAGAGCGCTGTTTCTTGATAACCTCTTGTTTGACTTGAGTAAGTAAAGTTCTTGCTTGAACACCTCTGCTTGAATCATATGCAACCAAAAGTTACGAGACTGCATGTACTCAAATGCTGTAATGGCGTGGGACCGGACGTGATCTTTGTGATCTGCCGCGTGCTTCCGTTGACATTTGTTTATGAATCGGTATATATATGCAGTGACGCGTATCAATTTTGGCCACCATGAATACCGTGCAGCAAGACTCCAGTCTTCACGAGTACTGTTTTGATGAGCTTCACATGCCTTCAGTTCCAACTGAGTTTCGTGGTGCTCTGATAGAATTTGATGAGGCCACTCATCAGAATGAAGATGCAACCATGACGGCCCATGCCACCATAGGTTGATGGATATCAAATCTCGGCCGAGTAATCCGCGCGAAGCACAGTCTGCGGGGTTTTCACTGGTGTTTACGTGATGCCAACTACCGGTTGGTAATCGTGTCTGAATTTCGGCTACTCTATGAGCTACGAAAGTTTTCCAATTTGAGGGGTGCTTCTTGAGCCATGCGAGAACTACAGTGGAGTCTGTCCAACAATAAATCGCAATGTCGCTTAAATGAAGTGACTGCTTGATAAAGTCAATCAAGCGAACTAGCAGAACGGCAGCAGAAAGTTCGAGGCGAGGAACCGTCATTGGTTTAAGAGACGCGACTTTAGATCGCCCAGCAATGAGCGAGACCGTAATTTTCCCAGAGGAGGATGTCACGCGTAAAAACACCACTGCTGCGTAAGCGATTGTGGATGCGTCCGCGAACCCGTGTAATTCCACAGTTGCCGTTCCGGACTCAAAACCTGTCCAGCGACTCAGTTGAATTTTTCGTAGATAGGGTAATGACTCGTAGATAGACTTCCAGGATGATAAGATTTCGTCCGGAATAATGTCGTCCCATCCGATACGGTGTCGCCATAATTGCTGCATGAGAGTTTTCGCCTTTAAAATCGCAGGTGTGACCCACCCGAGCGGGTCGAATAATCTTGCTATTGTTGATAGAATTGCTCGTTTGGTGTTAGGAACAGTTTCAGATAATGTAATTTGAAACTGAAAGCAGTCATGTTTCGGGTTCCAGACAATACCGAGGATTTTTAGACTGTCATCAGTCTCCAAATTTTTTGCGTAAGCCAATCCATGATTGTCAGGCTGAATATCTGAAAGCAATTCTGAGTGGTTACTGGCCCATTTCCGGAGATCGAAACCACCACGGTTCAGCAAATTACAAAGTTGAGTGCGAGCTTGCTTTAACAGTGTGATATCGTCTGCACCAAATAATACATCATCGACGTAGATGTTTTCTCTTAGGATGGGAGAGGCTAACGGAAATGAATCTCCCTCGTCACAGTTCAATTGTTGGATTACTCGAAGAGCAAGAAACGGTGCTGACGCAGTGCCGTAAGTAACGGTAAGGAGTTGATATTCCTGTATAGTTGAGTTGTGGTCGACCCACAGTATCCGTTGGTAGTCTCTATCTCTAGGATCGATTAATATTTGGCGATACATTTTAGCGATGTCCGCAGAATATACATATTTATATTGCCTCCAGCGCAATATAACTGCTTGTAGATCGGACTGCAATTTTGGGCCGGTGTACATGTGAAAGTTGAGAGACGTTCCATTGGATGTGAGGCAGGAGGCGTCGAACACGACTCTTAAACGGGTTGTCGAACTTGTCTCCTTGATGACTGGATGATGAGGTATATAGGTCGCTTGAACATTATTTGAATGCAAAGGAGCGACTTGCTTCATATGATTTAATTGCTCATATTCGCGCATGAAGTCCAAATATTCTTGTGCAAGTGTGGGTTGACGAGCAAATTTACGAATTAGCGACGAAAGTCGGCGTTCAGCTATGCTGCGAGAGTCGCCTATTTTAATAGGCGGGCCCTCTTTAAAAGGGAGTCGCACGACATATCTGCCATCTGCTGTTCTAGTATGCGTGCGTTGAAAGTGATCCTCGCATTGTTTATCTTCTATGGACGCATGAACATGTTGAGGAGTTTCTTCAACCTCCCAAAACTTACATAATTGCCGTTCCAAGGAGCAGCAGTGAGCAACTGCATGATACCTTTGTTGTGAACTGGGTAATGGTGAGCCTTGAGGTTGGGCTCCGACATGCGATGAAACCAAAGTAGAGCCGACTACATGGGTGTTTTGTATGACATGATTAGGGATTGACGTAGGTCCAGATAGAATCCACCCGAAATGCGATTGTATAGCGTCTGGTTGACCTATGGGTCCATTGCGTATATTGACAAGAACCTTGCTATACAAATCAGCTCCAATAATGAGGTCAATAGGAGTTGATCCAGTCGGATCGTCATCCGCTAAGGTCAAGTTGGAGATGTGTTTCCAGTCACGTAATGACGAAGCGTGTCTGGGAGCATACTTCGTCAATGCTCTCATGATGTAAGCTACCGTGGTGAAGGTTGGCTCAGGTTTATCGCGAGGCGAAATATTAATTAACGCGGCAGATCGGCATGTACCGGTATCTGCACAGCTAATCCCCGAAGTTGAAGTAAATGTTTGCATACGAGGTAAGCGTAAAATTTGCGCTACGCGTTCCGTAAGAAATGTGAGTTCTGAACCACCGTCAAGTAAGGCTCTGACAGTTAAGGAACGTCCAGAAAGCGAATGTATTTTCACCGTTGCCGTAGACAACACCACAGGAGTCGGTGATGTAGTTAACGTGACCGCTGAAAGCGCTGTGACATTTGATATATTAGTAACATTCTGCGAACTCGATGACGCAGGAATGCTCGTTGTTTGTTGCAATGAGCCCGAGTCAACGTGGATCATTGTGTGATGCCGCTTGCTACATTTGCGACACGTGAATTTACTCTGACAATTAAGTGCTACGTGCTTATCGCTTAAGCAATTGAAACATCGCTTAAGTTTCTTTATCAATTCGCGTCGTTGATCCGTGCTCATTGAAAGAAATTGTTGACACTTAGAGAGAAAGTGAGATTGTTTACAAATTGGACATGACAAATTAACTGACGCAGTTGCGGTGGCGCTTGTCACTCTCGAATGTGACTTCGTTTTATCGTGTTCGTGAGGATGGAGTTCCTCAAGCGCTATAGCGCGCGAAGATATGAAACGTATCAAGTCTTTGTACGTTGGAGGATTTTCGTTATCGCTACTCTTCAATTTCCACGCTCGACGCGTAGCAGAATCAAACTTTTGTGAAATGAAGTATACTAATATATCGCTTACAATATCCTCTGCTGTACGATCAAGACGTTTCAATGTCGCTAACGCTTGTTCCGTTTTATCTCGCAACTCGTGAAGTTCTGACGCTGATTCGCGAGTCATCTTTGGAAGATGATATAAGGTCGACACATGTACTTCGATCAACCGTCGTTTGTTCTCGAAACGCGTGGTTAACGCTTTCCACGCGACCTTAAAATTTTCGGCGGTTACTTTGATTCCTGATATCGCATCGCGGGCCGGACCTGTCAAACTAGAGATCAAAAAATGCATACGAGTGAAATTTGACAATTCTTTGTTATCTATAATCAACGACTGAAAACGGTCGCGAAAGGTCTCCCAATCCTCGTTTTTTCCAGAAAAAGGCGGTAATTTAATAGGAGGGAGATGCTTTAACGAGAATGACGATGCGTCCATTTGCGCAAAAGAAGTTTCGAGGGATGTATCTCGACTTACGACAGGAACCAGGTCTTCTAGACATTCGTTCATATGATCCAGGGCTGATTGATAGAGATCTTCGTGAAGGTCGAATTGATTCTTCTTGAAATAATTAATTGACCCTTGATCATCCTCTGGAACAAGTTGAAGCAGAATGGTGTGATTGTGCACACCTTGAGTCCATTGAGCTTGTAAAGTCGCAATCCGTGAGCGAACCCTTGCGGCCGTCAAATTAGAACGACCAATCTTTTTGAAATTGTCGAGAGCTCGAGCAATTGAGTGGAAGATAGTTTGCTGATTTGCAAGAGCGTCTTCCATTTTGACACTATAGTTGTTTATGAATATGTCACTAACACGATTGTCTACTTAAACGCGATTACTTGACTGACTGTATCTCGAATCACGCTGCACTTAAATATCACTGGTGTCCTTAATTCAGTGTTCTCGATTCGTCATTACTCTCCTATCCGGCTCGAAGGACCAAAAATGTTTGCGCGTACGCTCGATTGCTGACGTTGAACGCTCACGCACGAAGCTACGGATCCTGACAATCGGGTTGTAAATCCGATCGTCGATATCCGTCTCGTGTATAGATTGCACAGGAAGATTCAAAGTGGACTGTATCTTAAGGAGGGTGGACGCGCTCCGATTGGTGCGCAGGATGGGTAACGATTTAAGCCACGTGCCGAATCGAGAACCAGAATACGGAATTATATGCACAAATTACACAAAAACAATCCATTTATTAACTAAATTTGTCCGAGAGTCACAATGTACATAAACGCAAATTAATTTGAAACCTTTACATAAAATCTTTATCTATTAACGAATAAAATAGTCACCGCGAAAACACGTACGACGTGGTTGTTAAGCAGTCCGAAATGTCTCACTATATGGTATCTAGCATGTGTTGCATGGACACCACCGAAAAACTATTTGTTGCATAACAATTGCTAGTTACGATGAACACGCTCGAAACTCGTGTATCGAATCGTTCGAAATCTCACATTAAGATTTCGTACACGTTGCCGATTGCGGCGAATGCGATATTAAATCGCGAACCGAAATGTTTCAATTAACATGAAGAATCACTGATCACATAAATGTTACAGTGCGTTGAGCACCACGGGCTCGAAGGGATGAAAAAAAGGAACGCAAACACAATCACGACATCAGGTATCAGTCCCAGATGACTGATCACGTGATCTGCGCGCTCCAACTCACGTGATCTACGCGTGCCAAGCGAACACGCGCGAGCCTCATGTATACAATTATTACGTTCGTGGAAACAATCGGACTTCGGCACCTTGATATTTCACCATTGCGTGAATTCTGGTCCCAAATCACTGAATTCCGCTTCGTTAACAATGTTTTGAGCGCAAATTTTATGTCGCGTATATAACGGCGCACCTTGTTGCTACCGTTAATTAGCGAATGTCAAAGTGAACGTATTTCACATCTCACTTATCACTGAATCACAGCAGAATATCAATCTGATTATTTTTTTTATTAATCAAACGAACTACGAACAATTAGAATCGCGACGGAAAACCCACATGTGACTAATCGCAAAGCCGTGCCAGGAGCGAATGCCCAGGTTCGATGACGAGGCAGTTCATCCCCGATCGATTCGATAATCGAACGCTTGAAGCGCGGCGTGTAGGTTCAGTGCGTGCTGCCCCGTGCCGGATTAACTCAAAAATTATAGAATTTCAAATTATCGACCTACTTCTTCATTCTCTTTGAACAAATAATAAAGTTCTTGACCTGGGGTCAACTTACTTCTGAACATACCGCCCGCCTCGAAAAAAGATTTCGAAATGTCTTACAGTAACTAAAGAACTTACCCCAGGTTGGGTTTTTTTTTTTTTATTACAAGAAAAAAAAAAAAAGAAATTAAATCGCTTAAAAATCGTTAATATTCAGTTAATGATTTGAACAATAACAGGCATTTATTTGCTTACAATGATTGAATAACAATATTAAGACATTAGATTCTTATAAATTACATATTAACGCGACGCGATTGGTCTTAGTAGTCAAGGATATTGAGCGCCGCCCGCCTTAACTAACTCGAAGGACTTGATTTGTCCTAATTATGCGAACGATTGAACGTTGCATGCGCATCCTGGATTGGGTTTTCCGCAGTACCTGTCTTACGTTCCGACAGTTGATCGATTAAGTTAATATCGATAGGTTAGTTCCACAATTTATCGATTAAGTTAATCGGACGTCGCTGTTTAACTGAGACGACTCAGTTAACCCGTCAGAGCCCGGATGACAATGAATAACTCGCCCTAATTCCCATTTACACGGTGAGGAGAAGGGGGTTTTGAATCAAATGACCATTGAACCAACCTAATCCAGGCGTTTCTCGACGCCACTTCTTTGTTGAAAAGTATTGACATAATCTGACTGCCACTGCTTCCAAAAACGCTTTGTAATCTGTCTGAGTAATTGCCACAATCTGTTTTCGTTCAATTGTAAAACGGAAGGTTCCGGATTCGTCTAGTAATTGCCAATCAAAAGGTGACCTGGGGTCAGGAACTCGTCATTCTGGATTATCATTAAGTGGAGAAAGCGGCCTTGAGTTGAGGATAGCCTAATTTTGCACAACACTGTCGTGAACTCCTCAAATGTCAATGCTTGTGAGCTTACAATTCGACGAAGGTGGTGTTTGACAATCTTCACTCCTGCCTCCCATAGTCCTCCAAAATGAGGAGCATGAGGCGGGATGAAACTCCAAGTGATCCTATCTGTTGCGATTAAATTGAGAAAATCCGTATTGCGTTGAGCATCCCGATACGCGCGGGATAGCTCTATTATCGGCTGTGAAAAAATAATTATTGCGTTTATATATAAATACATAAGCCTCGTTAGCCAATTATTGAAATGCGTTCAAAAATTCGAATTTGAATAATGCTAATCAACTCGAGATGAATGGCTCGAGTTGCCAACATAATGAAAACGGCTATTTAAATTTTCGTTGCCAAACATAAAAACCTCTATGTAAGCTCGAATGAGCACTCGACCAGGCAGAATGAGCACTGTGCAAATAACGCCCTTGTGGCGTTCGTTGAGTTGAGTTGACCCATTAACTGATTGGCTACCTGAGCTCTTTCTCGCGTGCATCGAACGCACCTGTAGATAACTGATTTAACTAAAGGCCTAGATTTTATAATCCAAAATTCTGGCGAATTTTAGACAGGGTAGACTGAAGACCGGCGTGCAGCGAGGCTATGTGCGTGTAGCGAATGAGCATTGTAGTAATTGGATGATCAGCTAGTAGAACTGGATGTTTGGATTGAAATGGTAGATGAGAATGCTCCAATCTTCCGCCAACGCGGAGTAGACCATTTGCGTCTAGGAATGGATTTAATGATATCAGAGCGCTGTTTCTTGATAACCTCTTGTTTGACTTGAGTAAGTAAAGTTCTTGCTTGAACACCTCTGCTTGAATCATATGCAACCAAAAGTTACGAGACTGCATGTACTCAAATGCTGTAATGGCGTGGGACCGGACGTGATCTTTGTGATCTGCCGCGTGCTTCCGTTGACATTTGTTTATGAATCGGTATATATATGCAGTGACGCGTATCAATTTTGGCCACCATGAATACCGTGCAGCAAGACTCCAGTCTTCACGAGTACTGTTTTGATGAGCTTCACATGCCTTCAGTTCCAACTGAGTTTCGTGGTGCTCTGATAGAATTTGATGAGGCCACTCATCAGAATGAAGATGCAACCATGACGGCCCA